GCTCTTAGGGTTCTAAATTTGACGTCAGCAGCCCCAACAACTCCCTTTCTGTATGTCTAGTCAGTATTTTTCCCCTTTTGGTGTTTTATGAAGCCATATCAGTGAATCTGTATCATCTTTCCTACTTGAGTGGCCCAAAGCCAGCACCAAACCCTGGTAGTCCCTAAAGCCTAACAGAACGGGTAGAACCTGCCAAGTGAAAGGAATTTGGCCGAGAGCTCCCTTCTAATCCCATAGTTATTGTGTCCTTGTAGACAGGAGCAAGCTAGCTTTCCCAAAGAGAAAGTGTCCTGAAAGAACAAAACTTCATAAAGTTCTAGGCAAGTGTTCGATGGTTTTACTTAAGGATGTGAACTCTGTGTTTCCACCTAGCATCATGAAATGTTCCTTTAGTATTTTGGGTCCAGGAGCTGCCTTGATGAGTCTCACATCCTCCTCCCTACAAATGACTAATTTTTGTCTCATTTTCCCCAAACCAAAAAATGAATATTTGATATCTGTTTAATATTTTGGAAGGACCTGTGCAATGGAAATTTTGCCATTTCCCTAAAACTGGTAGTGTAAAGGCTGATGCTTGGGGAAAACCCCATGGCTGGGGATGGGCAACTCTGTTCAATGGGATCTTCTTTGGTTTGATGTTCCCATTGTTTTCTCAATTCTGGGAAGCCTAGTACAATGGTACTAATGTAATCACTGAAGCCTTTTCTTAAAATAAGGGAAGGGGCCAACCCTAGATTAAAGTTACAAGTTCTGGGGACTTGGGGGTTTGCTATAAACCCTAATAATGGGTTTTGGTTCATCTTGTAAATGCAACTTTGACTTTTTTAAGGACTGACTGGCCTTTCATGTTCCTGTATCCCTCATGCTCACCATCTCAGCAGGCCTGAGAGGCAGGGTCAGTTTGGGTGTTAATCATGAGTATTGCTTCTGCTATGGAACTGAGGAACATGGGCACGTTGCTGAGACTGTGGGATGAAAGTGAGCATTGAAGAAAGGGTGAGAGCCCTGCTCTTGTTCCAGATGGGAGTCATTTTCCAGCAGTGGAATGCTGTGGTCGTTTTCTTTAGCATGTTTCTTTGGGAAGTCTAGGTTTGCTGTTAATCTGGCTGAGAATCTAAGTTCTGTGCCTTAGAGACAATTTGCACTTTCCCAAATTGTGCCTGGGACAGCCATATGATTTTTCCCACCAAACAGCTATGCAAACAGAAACCAGTTCAAAGGTTGCAGCCATACATTAGACAAAAAGTAAAAAGTGAGGCAGCAGAAATGCCTTTGAATGGTTTTCTGTAGATAATTCTCTTAAATTTGTCCTACTTTTCTTCTTTATGCAGTGTTAGGTGTTTTAAGATTTCCAGTAGTATTGCTTCTGAGTTATAGTATAACCTGAGTTACTCCTCTGCTCTGACATTGTTGCTGAAGAACTAGCTTATTGTTAGCCAGATGTTTGAAAGGTTGAGGGTGGAGTGGTTTGGCATTTCTGTTTTAAATAAACATTTAAACTCTCAATCAGTGCAATGCCTCAGTAAGCCTGCGCACGGACCTTAGTCACTGGGGATAAAACACCCAGATTCTAGGCCTTCATGAATCTGATTCAATGAGTCTTTATATAAATAAATAAATGTTCTTGTAACAGAGACAACACAAGGTACATTTGCACCAGAAATAATCTTTGCTTCTTTCCAATTTTTTTCTTGCTAACAGAATCATTTCTGCTTCTACAACTTTTCCTTCAAATTTTTAAAATATAGTGCTTAAAAGTGCAGAGGGATTAAAAAATGAGCCATTAAAAGAGGAAAGATCACTTCTTGTACTTACCTCCTCAATCTCAGTGGGCTTTTTCAAGTGATAATACCAGTTTATGTTTATAAAACTGTTTTCCCCTCAAAGAGCTTGAACTGTATTTGGTCTCTCTGGCATAGCACAGCCAAGTTATAACTTGTCTTGGCTGAGCATTTCACTAAAGTTTAAAGCAAAAGCAGCCTTAAACTCACATTTCATTTGATTTGCCATGTATTTGGAAACATTCATAATAGAAAGAACAATTCTGGGAGCAAGGATGTATTAAATAAATTCGTTGAAATGAGTATCCCTGGGCCTCCAAAGAAGTATTATTCATGATAATGTCAGGGCAGAATGGGCTGTAGTCAGGACTACAAAACATGTTCCTTCCTCCCGCAAAGCCAGGAATCATTTATTGCTCCAGTGATGAACTATGGAAATAAACATGCTGATCACTAACCCTCACAGAATCATGAACATTAGGAAGAAAAACACTACATCATGTCTCTGCTACCTCCTGTGTAGCCGTGAAGAATGATAAATTGATTCCCAAAAGCAAATGTTGGCCAAAAGGTACTGTGCTGCATTGAGTACACTGCTGTTAAGAAATACTATCTCAGCACGTCTGCACACACTTAAATGAAGTGAGTTTCACCATGAAATTTTTCCCATTGTGTAACCTTCTGAACTTTAAAATTTATAACATTTACTTGCACTAGAGGTTGTTGGATAAAGTAATGTAACACATGGACATTAACAAGCAGCGTTTATTTATCCACTATCATCCTCTCCTATCCAGGAAGAGACTTAGATAAAAACAAGGGTTCTTACCTCTTCCCAAAGGTCAGATCAAGCTGAATTTAAAAGACTAATATAGGGGCCGGCCCTGTGCCTTAGCTATTAGGTGCGTGCGCTCCGCTGCTGGCGGCCCGGGTTTGGATCCCGGGCGCGCACCGACGCACCGGCCATGCTGAGGCAGCATCCCACATACAGCAACTAGCAGGATGTGCAACTACGACATGCAACTATCTACTGGGGCTTTGGGGAGAAAAATGGGAAAAAAAGGAGGAGGATTGGCAATAGATGTTAGCTCAGGGCCGGTCTTCCTCAGCAAAACGAGGAGGATTGGCATGGATGTTAGCTCAGGGCTGATCTTCCTCACAAAGAAAAATAAATAAAAGACTAATATATTCCTAATATAATCAAGGCCTAAACATGTTGAAATCAAAGGGAACACTAAGGCATTGACTATTGTTTTATTTCTTTAGCAACATAAGAATGAATAACTGCTTCCTGTGTCTATAGAAAGCACTCTTTCCACACACATTTGTTCTCCCTGGAGGGCTCTGATCTCTGACCTTAATAACATCATCCAGGGATCCCAAACCCAAGTGCCTGTGGGGCCAGGCAGAGAAGGCAAATAAGTGAAGCAGGCCAGGTGGGGCTGTGGTGATCTCAGTGCTCTGTCCTGTCTGCAGGAGCAACCGATTCGGAACCTCACTCAGTTGGTGCTATGCAGGGTTGCTGGCCCAGTGCTTCCAGAACTTCCAGTTTTTTAAGACACGCTCCGTATCCCAATTTTTAAATGTCAAATTATATTTTAATGCAGTGCCAGCCAAATGAAACATATCTGAGGGGCAAAGCAGTCCACAGGCTACCACTTTGTGACCTTGGCCACAGCTCATTCTTGTCATCTGTTGCTTCTACCATCATTGTGAAACTTCAAGTGTATACCTCATTAAACTTGCCTGGGGAATGTATATATTGGGTTAAATATCCAGCGTCTCTATATGAGGTTTCTGTAAGTGGCCAATCAAAAGCCCCATTATGTGATAACTCTTTTTCTTTGCAACAATTAAGAAGAGCATAAAGCAATACAATGTATGCTGTTTTTTAAATACATAAATTTTTTCAGGGGGCCGGCCTGTGGCATAGCAGTTAAGTGTGTGCGCTCTGCTGCTGGCTGCCCGGGTTCAGATCCCGGGCACGCACCAACACACCACTTGTCAGGCCACACTGTGGCGGCGTCCCACATAAAGTGGAGGAAGATGGGCACAGATGTTAGCCCAGGGCCACTCTTCCTCAGCAAAAGAGGAGGATTGGCATGGATGCTATCTCAGGGCTGATCTTCCTCACACAAAAAAATAATAATTTTTTTTCAGCCTAGTGTCCTGCAGCTTCACAGCTAAGACCTTAAACCCACAGTTTAAATTGGTCTGATCTGCTAGCACAGCCACTCAGCAGAAGCTACAGAGGAAATGGAACAAGAGTGAATGGCCATTTGTTGTTTAGTAAAATATGGTTTTGTTGTCTGCCCAGTCCCGTTTGCCCAGGTCAGGTTGGGTGATTTTTCTCTAGTATTTTAAACTAACAATTTGAGTGATGCTCTCAGGACAAAAATCCTAGTATTTCAGATCTTTCGTGCTAGCTTCATCCTATCTGAACTGATATTACCCCCATCAGACATTACCTTATCACTTCTCCCATTTGACAAGTCTAGGACTCACTCATTTTATTACTTGTTTAATTTTAAATCCCCAAAACCCATTTATTGAGGGCCTAATTATGAAGGTTACTTGCACTAGGCATGATTCCGCACAGAGAAAATTAAAAATATCTGGTACCTTTTCCTTCAAAGTTTAGTTTATTGTGGTATAATCGGCAGGGACGTGTGACACTGGAGTGTCCCAGCTTGCTTGGATGGTAGATTTTGCTGTCTCATTTAAAAACCATCCAACCAGCCTGATTTGAAAGCAAAGTGCTAGCAATAGCTGAAACAAGTTTCTTCCTTCCTTCCTTTTTTTTTTTTGGCATATGAAATCCATTAGAAAAGAACAACTATTGAGACAATGTGCTTTCTCCCATCCCTACCTTGTAAAGTACATAAAGATGAGGTCCCCTTTATTACACAGTACACCACAGGGAGGGTTTAGGATGTTCTGGCACCCTAACCTTACATACTTCTATTGGCCTTTGGCCAGGACCATGCACCAGGGAGGTTAAAGACAGACTTCTATTTTCCTTTCAGCAAAATCGTATTATCTTTTGTAAGATACCATCCGGGTGACCGTGATCCTCTGACACCAACTCATCCTAATGAGCCAGCTTTACGCAAGAGCAAGAAGAGTTAACAGGAACCACAGACATACACGCAGAGGCAGTGGCAAGAAGGCACAGCAAATGGAGTCACTTAACTAGCACAAACCACAAGTCGGGCTTATGAGAAGAGAGCTTTAATGTAGCCTGCTTGCTACTCTTAAGTGTCTTCACTCATCAGTTCTTAGGGCAATAACATAAGGCACGCCAGCCTGAGGTGGTAATTTAGTGGGAAGCTGAGGCTTCCTGCTGCCTTCTGCTGCTTGGCAAGGGGTCTCTCCTCACTGAATTCAGCTCTGCAGGCAGATCTGGGAGCTGTAAAAGTTTTAGTTCTTTCTGCTTTGCATCAAATTGTTCTATTCCTGTTTACTGCTGAAGGGAGGCAGAGCCTTTGGAACTACAGAGATTTCCACTGTTGTTTGCTCAACCGTAATGCTTCCTTGGAGGCGGAGGATGGTTCTTGATGGTCTTACACTTGTGAATGTGCCGCTCGGCCACCTTGGGAGCAAAGTGGCAGCTACAGTGAGGACACTGAATGTAGTCTGGATTTTCTGCAGGCAGGATGGGAGGCAAGTCTGAGGGCTTTCCACCTTGCCTGGCAATTACCTGCTGGACCTCTCGAGCCTGACGGAGGGTACAGATGAAAGATTCGTGCTTCTGTCTCCAGTTGCTCTTCTGAGGGGGTTCAGCCTGTAAGTAGAAGGAAGACTGATCAATCAACTTGGCGTTTACCTCATCTCCTTATGAGTCTCCATTAGAATGATAGCAAGGAAATAAAAAGAATGTTAATCCACAAGGTCAAAGAGAACAGGAAAGGAGCAACAGTGATAACTGACTTGCCCGAGTGGAGGCACTTAAACTAAGGGGCATAGTACTGAGAGGCAAGCCATTTTTCCCAGCAGAACCCCTGGGAGGTTCAGTGCTTGGAAGTACAAGTAGTGGAAAGGCAGGAGGTGCAGGGCTGAAAACAAGTTGGCCCCAGGGCTCCTCTCCCACCTTGTACACCCAAGTGTGCATCACTTCTGGCACCCTCACAAGAGAACAGGTGTTTATTCTCTGGAGAAATTGAACTAGACAGCTTTCAGACTCAGGAAATCCAGGCACAGTGGAGAACAGAGTTAATCTTGGGGCTTAAAATAGGGATCGAGTGCAAGTATATAAAATGAATTTTGGAACTGTCGGCCTCCTTCCTCCACTCAGCTCCCAGAGTACCAAGTACACTGGCACCCTTTTAGGAAACTGAAGGGTTCTCTGGATGCACTAAGCATTTGAGAGAAAAGCCATCAGATGCTAACTCTGAGGGACCCCAGTTAAAAGGCTCACTATTTGATAACCCTAATATGAAGGCCCTTAGTCAACAAGCCCCACTGAAGCTTAAATATGAATGGACAGCCCAGGATCACCAGATATTTGAGTAAAGCTCTAACGAGAGAGACCAAAATAGGTACATGAACACACACATGCATGCTCATGCTCTCAGGAAGCAGCAACAAGGCAGGCAGCAGGAGAAAACTTTTTTTTACAAAACCATAATATCAACAAATCTTTTTTTTACAAAAAACCATAATATCAACAAAGAAGAGGTTGTGTCCATAAAACAAGAATATATATAGTATGAAAAAGAAACAACCAGAGAACCAGAGAGAACTATTTTTTTTTTTTTTATAATTTTTTTATTTATTTTTCCCCCAAAGCCCCACTAGACAGTTGCATGTCATAGCTGCACATCCCTCTAGTTGCTGTATGTGGGATGCGGCCTCAGCATGGCCGGAGAAGTGGTGTGTTGCTGCGCGCCTGGGATCCGAACCCAGGCCGCCAGCAGCAGAGCGCACGCACTTAACCGCTAAGCCACGGGGCCGGCCCAGAAAGAACTATTATAAATTAAAACTCTGACAGCCAAAAATAAAAATAGAAAATAATGTCAAGAAATTACTCAGAATGGGAAAAAAGATCAAGATGGAAAGTAGAAAAGAAAAGATTAGAAAATTAGAGTCAATCCAGGAAGTGAATCCATTAGGTTTTCCAAAAAGAACAGAAGAAACCCAGGGAGAAAATTATTAAAGAAATAATACAGTGAACATTCCTAGAATTAAAGGTCACTACTCTTGAGACTGAAATGGCCTACCAAGTATCCAATAGAATCATTGTAAAATTTCAGAATTTCAAAATAAAGAGAGGGCTGGCCCCATGGCTTAGCGGTTAAGTGCGTGCCCTCCGCTACTGGCGGCCCGGGTTCGGATCCTGGTGCGCACTGACGCAGCGCATCTCTGGCCATGCTGAGGCCGCATCCCACATACAGCAACTAGAAGGATGTGCAACTATGGCATACAACTATCTACTGGGGCTTTGGGGAGAAAAAAAGGAGGAGGATTGGCAATAGATGTTAGCTCAGAGCCGGTCTTCCTCAGCAAAAAGAGGAGGATTAGCATGGATGTTAGCTCAAGGCTGAACTTCCTCACAAAAAAATAAATAAATAAAAACTGTTTAAAAAAAAAATAAAGAGAGAATCCTGTAAACTATCAGAAAAAGAAAAAAAAAAACAAAGTAGGTTTCATATAATGGAGCAGGAATCAAAATAGCATCAGATTTCTGTACACTGGATGCTAAAAGCTAGTGGGAAAATGTGTAATAAGTTCTAACAGAAAATAATTTTCCACGTAGAATTCCCTTCTGGCAAAATTATCAATCAAATATGAGGCTCTTATATAGATATTTTCCTTCATTCCAAGACAAAAAATATGCCTCCCATGCACCTTTCTTAGTAAGCTTCACCAAAGCAAGAAGTAAAGCAAGAAAAAGGAAGACACAGGATGCTGGAAACAGGGGACCCAACACAGGAGAGAAGCCGAGAGGCATCCCAAGACAACAGGTCTGCAGCAGGCCCAGAGAATAACCACTCCAGACTGGAGCAGGAGGAAAAAGAATGGTGAGAGGGAGCTTTCCAGAACAAAAAAATCAAACTGATAGATTATGACAGGTGTTCGAGCATTGACACAGACATTAACAGGTGTCTGACATTAGACAGATCATTTAGGAAAAAAATTAGGTATGGAGGACTAAACACATGAAAACATGAGTCAATTATTAACTCCAGGTGCAGGGGCAGAATTTGTTCACTCATCAGTGAACAAAATTTACATGGTCATTATAATGTAAAAGCTGACTACAGATTTAACCCAAAATTTTACTTCTACTACAATGGGAGGATAAGGGAAGGAGACAAGCACTAGGAGAGGGGATGTGAAAGAGACCTTAACCTGCAGCGTCCATATGAAGCAGTCATCAGATAATGTGCAAAACTGATAAATCAAGAAAATAAGCATATTATTTAGAAATATGGAAATGCATACCAGAAGAGTCATCTATAGAACTGAAGGCTGCCTCTGGGGGCTGGATTAGGGGTTGGAGAGGGATGAGGCAGGATACTGCTGGTCTGCATTATACATCACTTAGTACTACATGATTTTTAAAATGTATTCAAATATAATTTAGATTAAAAGAAAATTAATTTTAAAAACAAGAAAAAAGAAAGAAGACTAGTAGCCGCTTGGTGATCTGACATCATTAATGACGAATAATAGGAAGAGATGCTATCAAAGGAAAAGGAAGCATCAAGAGAGTCTCTGACACAGACAAGAAGGCAGGAAAATCAAGTGTTAGAGATGGTATCCAGGAACCTTTAAAAGAACTGAATTAGGGGAAAGTTCCTCAACCATATGCTACTTATACTTTAATTTTCATTGTATTGAAATTTTATTCATTTAACATGTATCACAAAGCACAGAAATGTGGTCCCTGTGCTCAAATGCTTAAGGTCCAGTAGAGAGACAATAGGTATGAGTCTGCTGGAAGTTATGGGAAGATTAAAGAATACAAGGAAAAATCACCTGTTCTTGTGAGTCTACTAGAGGAATGACTGGTAGACACAAACCACGCAGCTTCCAGGGGCACAGAGCTTTGGAATAAGACTTGAGACATTCCAAGGAGGGAAGTGCATCTCAGTGCAGGTCCTTTCTGCCTTGGTGTCCTCAGTGCAACATATTCCCCTAAACTAGTTTCCACAAAGCTAGGGTGTCTGATCTCAGAAACCCAATTCTTTTGCTTCACTGCCACTGTATTTAGGAATTTAAGAAACACAAGATTCTTTAGATTCTGGCCGGAAATAAACCACGATAGTGGGACAGAGAATACCCCAGTGGATCATTGGGTTGACCAGAAAGAAAACAGGAAAGACCAGGAACTGGTGATCATGTCATCATCTGCAAGAGCAAAATGTTGACTTGTTATTGGACACTGGATTTCAGGGAGATTATCTCTGAACACGGAAGGGACTTTCTCGGGTGATCTCCCAAACTGTACTGAAAGAAGTAACTAAATGCAAACTACTTTTCCTAACAGCCATCACATAAATGTGAGTTTTTAAAGGCCCCATTAAAAACGCACAGAAACTGTAAAGTGCTGAAGGACCAGAGGTGCTAGTGCAGCAGAGGGAGGGCTGGAAAGAAATGAAATGAGGCTCTCACATTTTGCTAGAATATCCAGCTCAAAGGCTGGATGGGGCCTTTGAGATCATATGGTTTAGGCTTTCCCAAACTTTGATCATTTGCATACTACTTTCACTTTATCCCCCTATTTTTTTTTTTTTTTGGCATATGAAATCCATTAGAAA